CCACCACCTCTCCAGAGAGTGCAGTTGCCCATGCAGTCAATGAAGAGATAGGGCAGTGGGACATCCTGATCGTATAGCAGGGGCCTCCAGACACCATTGTCATATGATCAGGTGGTCCCTCTATCCTCTATTCTCATTGGCCAGATGGGTGAGCCCAACCTTTGGAGAAGTGGGAACATACCAAGAGGCCTGTCCATGAAACCCCTGCAGATAAGAGACACAGTGGTTCCAGAGACAGGCCAGCCATGTCAATGCAGTGTCAGACCAGCCGCCCTATGAAGATAACACTGTGCAGCTGCACCAAGTTTGGCCTGGAGTGTGCAGCTACCTCATGGCAAATCTGGGAACAGTTCCAGAACATAATGCTCTGGACTGGACTTACTGGCCAGTGCAGACAAGTCCAGAATCTGCTTTCCTTGCCTGGCTGCTCCATTGCCATCCTATGCAATAATAGCCATAGATCTGAACACTTTGTGGTGGCCAAATAAGTTTAAGGAAAGGAAGTGGGCAATGGCATTCTCAGACAAGTCCAAATATTTCTGTGATGAGACTTTTCTTATACACCTGAGGTTACTTTTACCCATAGGAGGCACCCAATCACTGACATCTGCCCTGCTTTTACCGTTATAACACTCTCCCAAACTATACAAGGGCTAGGATCCCAAGTGTCTTCCCCAAATTAATTCAATATCTTAGGTGGCATGTTTGCCTTTGTTTAAAGTGTATAGAATGCATTCAGACAGATACATCTGTTATAAAACATAAACAGTGACTTCATTAAAGAACAGAAAGCAAGTAACTATCTTAGTGTTATTCCAAACTTACGACCTTATCACATGGGGGAAATTCCCTGCAGAAACAGGATTTAAAAGGTAGGGAAAACCTGCAAAAGTGGGTAGATTTTCACACACATCGCTTTTAAACTGTGCTTAACCCAAATGAAAAGCAGTCCAATGCTGCTTCTTTTTACTTTCAGGATTTTCCAAAAGTAAAAAAGAAGTGACTTTTGACTACTTTCTGTTCAGGTTAACCACAGTTTAACATCGACATTGTCTGAAAGTCTACCCGCTTTTGCAGATTTTTTCCTATTTAAAACCCCACTTCTGCACGGGATTTCCTCTGTGTGATAAAGTCCTTAGCGTGGTTATTTTAACATAACAATTGCAGGCTTATCACAGTCCCCTTTGGACTTTCTTAAGTCACTTCCTAGTCAGAATCCCTCTCTGACTCTCACTGACTCTCAGGAGTTTATCACACGGGGAAGATTGAAAGTTAAAAATTATAAGAACCCATGCTCATGCAGCATATTAGAAGCAATTGTGCGAATGATTTTCACACAATGTTGTGCACAATCCACTTAGAATCCAACAAAAAAGTGACATGAACCAGAAAATAGTCATTTTCGGGAAAATACAGTGATTTCATTTCTGTTTCATTCATGAATTCACCTTTTTTCTGCAATTACTGTAGTGTGAAAGCCATTTGTGGGATTCTCCCCATTTTTGTTCTTGTTGCCAGATTTGATAGCCAGGGCTCTTAAAGGGACAGCTGCTCTCTCAAAGGCAGAGGCACAAAGAAACACAAGAGAAAAAGCTTGCTTCTTCCTCCCACACCTCTCTCTCTCTCTGTGAATGTCTCGTCTCCTCCAGCCAGAGCTCTTAAAGGAGCAGCTGCTGAGGAAAGTCAGGAACGAGAGAGCGAGAGAGCGAGAGATATGTTTGCTTCCAGTGCTGCTTGGTCTTTAGCAGGGCTTTTAAAACAAACAGCTGATGCAAGAAAGAGATAGAGAGAGGAGCGTGAATGAATGTTTGCCTCCTGATCTGCCAGAGCCAGCAACAATCAACAAACTATTCCCTTTAAGGGATTTTGGATTTCAGCTCCCAGAAACCCAGTGTATTGGCCAATATGGTTGAGGCTTCTCGGAGCAGTAGCCCAAAATCCCTCAAAGGGGACAGCCTTCCCTCCTAGCCACAGCTCTGA